CCAATCTTTGTATGCTGCCTAATTTTTGAAGTGATTCGATCACCGGATTATCCATCCATATGATATTCTAAGTTTGGTATGCTATTTTCTGTTTTACTACCTGTGACACCAAGTCATCACATGTCAATTGCCCGATTACCCCTCTCCAACGGCCTACTCTGGTTCTCCAAAAGATTCTGTGTGAAAAGGCAGGTGTGTTCGGATGCAGGAAGAGCAGGGTGCCAAAGAGCAAATATTTTAATTAATTTGCAAGTAAGTCTAACAATAAATAAAGGCCACAACCTTAAGTGCTGGAAGGGTCGATGGGGAGTACGAATTTTTTTAATTTTTGAATTTTATTTTTCTCAGTTTGTTTTCTTAAGAGGTTATATTTTGGTTTGTGTTTTTATTTGTGTTTAAGTAAAGTTAGTTAGTAAGTTTAAGTAAATTCTATTAAAGTTCATTTTAATTTGATGACCCTTCTTATTTATCAATTTCTTTTAGTTTAGTTTCCCAGCGCGGTGGTGTATTATTGATCAATCATTAGTGATATTTTACATCTAGTTATGATTTTTGTAGGTGGTATTTACATGTTGTAAGAAAAGGTATGGGGGCGTTGTGATAAGTGATATTGGAGACGTAAGAGGGAGCATTGAGCATGGTTCTGAGAAGTTTGGATTAAAATGGCTGCATTCACTGGAAGTTGGAAAGTTTTCCTGTGCCCTTCAGTCTTAGTCCGTACGTTCCAATTGGTACTGTTTTGTAGATTGTCGGCTTGTTTTGCCGACACTTAGATTTGTATGCTGGTCGTTTGTAGAGTAGACCGAAAGATCTTAACTCCAGTTGTTTAGGGTTTTCAGTTGCGTGTATTGGTTCCAGGATAGTCGTGAGTTCGGACTGCAGGTAACAGAGAGTTTTAGGGGTGAAAGTGTTATTACGAATACAGTATATGACAAGCCATTTCATAAAGGTCGCCAATGCAGCATGCACAATCAATAAGGCAGAGTTCCGACGATTGAGGAGGCAGAAGAGAGGACGGCGTGCAGGCCTGAGTGGGAAGCTACGCTGGATCGGGGAGTGGCTGTTCAGTCGCTTCAAGTGTTAGAAAAAAAAAAGAAAGTAAAAAAAAAGAAATGTGTGACGTGCTTAAAGTCTCAAAAACTGCTTGTGTTGGATTCTTCGTCGATTGGTGCCCATTGTAAGAAGGTTCTTTACATTATTGTTACATTATTACATTATTCTTTACATTGTTTTCATGTTGTCTACAGAAAAGAATATTAAAAAAAAAACTTTACACTTAATTATATGAACTAAATTTTAGTGATAAGAAAATATTCTCTTTCCTTCTTAGTTTCTTTATAATAAGTAACCTTTGATGACATTTTGTTGATTCTATTATTTGTTTGTAATATAATAACTTTTTTATGTTAAAATCATAAATACTGGTAGCAGAGCAAAAACTCGTCCTTTGAAAAAAAAAAAAAAAAAAAAAAAAAAGTCGGAATTCTGCCTTATTGATTGTGCATGCTGCTTTGGCGGCCGTTATGCAATGCCTTGTCATAAGTAGTATAGGTCTTACTTGGTAGGAGTGTTTTGTTTTCTTATTTACTCTTAAATTTTTTTCTCCTTTCGGAGGACGGTTTGGAGCTCCTTCGAAGCAATTGCGGGATCGGGATCTTGAGATAAAGACAGTTGTATTGACAGGACTCAAGGAGGGTAAAATGTATGAAAACGTCCTGTGTAGAGGAGGTAAAGCATTGGTTCAAATACGCTGCCCTGTAGTACACCTGCTCCAAGAGAGCAATAGTCGAAGTAGGCAGAATCTTGGCGGGTTCTAAAAATTTGTTAGTTAGAAAAGAATATATTTGAAAGGATACGCTTTAGTTCGTAAGGAGAGCTTCGTTGTTTGTAAGTCAAGTAATGACCCCACACCGTATCTTTGCACTCGAGGGATGAAGATATGTGGTCCGCAAAGCGAAGCACTTGCTGATTAGACATTAAAGAAGCCTTTTATGGAGAAAAAATGTAAATTAGTTTATATAAATATAAATATAAATTATTAGAGTTTCTGTTTTGAATTTTAACAGAAATTCGCTGTTTTGGTTTATCATACGCGTTTCGGTTTTTCGCCAGTGTCAGTGCGTTATTTTGTTTTATCTAACGTTTGTATCTAAGATAAAATCTCGCAAGATTTGTCAAACATTACAAACAATATTTGTTGAAATAATGATAAAGACGGAGTCACCCAAAAGTAATCCAAGTAATTTTGTCTCATCTCTATAAGCCCAAGTTTGAAGTTCGTTATTGACAATCGTTATTTGAAAATCTCAACTTTTCTTTGTAACTCGACGAAAATTAATGTTGAGGAGATAAAATTATTCTTCGTGTAGAGTGTGGGATATGAAATATGTTTTGCCTTAAAGATACAAATTAGTGATAGAGGTTGGAAGTGCTTTTTTCCTTCTTCTTCTTGCCCAGGGCAAACGGGTTGGTTGCATTGCCATTTATCACACATCGAACGGGGCCGTCGCCGTTTCGTGTTTATCGTGATTGGACACGGAAAAAATATATATTTCAAGGGGCTAAATGGAGGTGTGATGTGATTACCAGGGGGTGTGGCAGAAGAACAAAGCACTATTGTCCACCAGACAATGGTTCGCATGTCATTAGGATCCGTCGAAGAAACTCGGCTCGACGCGGCTAATCTCAAATTGCCCTGCCACCTCTCAGCACTTTGAAAAATTGTCACCGTCCAGAAAAGAGAGTCATAACTCAATCGGAGCTGAGATAGCGATGTGATGGAGCAACTCTTGATATGGTTGACATCCAAACGCCCTTCTCCTTATTCTTCTTGTTTAATGCATCACGCAAAGAAATTCTTGCTATTTGTTGAACATTTCTTCTCTCCTTCCGCGGTATGCGATATTAAGACATATCTACTTACCTCTACAAACACTAGAATTGTCTTCTCAATATATAAAATTTTCCACTTTTTATGACTAAACCATAAAAGGAGATTCCTCACAGAGATCTTCCCGTAAAAGAAGCACTAAGAATAACCTACGTAAAAAGTTATTCCTGTAGAGGGGCTTAACGTTTAACTACCCGTTGGGTTTCGCGGACGAGAGGTCAAACTACTTTATAATAAATTTTACGTATTATTTCAATTAAAATTCCATGAGCTGTATCGGAATTCGAACCCAGAATGGCAAAAGCGTTAACTGCCCTAGCAACCATGGTCCCCTGAAGACATATCTACATTATAATTTGTAAATTCAATAAGCATTGTGAAGCAGGAAGAGATCCTATTCTCAAACGACCTAAAAGTACTATTGTCAATTAATTATTCTGTTTATGTAAGGTCTTGGTTGAGATGAAAAAGCTAGTGTCACAAGCGGGATTCGAACCCACGACCTTCGTCTGGGGTTTCCGGCTGGGTTCGAATCCCGCTCGTGACACGAGCTTTTTCATCTCAACCAAGACCTTACATGAAAAGAATAATTAATTGAAATAATTAATATGGCCAATTAGGCCTCTAAACGTAATGGATTAATACATTAAAATGTTATCTATCTTACGTTTATTTTATCAAAATACACTGTCATTATATTTCGTTATTTTATTGATCCAATCATGTAACCTAAATGAATAATAAAAGGATTTAACCGTATATTTGATGATCCAGCTGTATGTACCCCAAAGCGGTTGTGAAATATCTGAAAAATCATGAAGGGTAATCTCAGTGAAATATAAAACCTTAACACTTATAAATTTGTCAATCTAAAAATATTAAATTTAGTGCAATACACTGTACAGTGGTTACAATAATTAACCTATAAAATAGTTGACCTGTTGCTATCCTCTCGTTTTTCTCGTATTCTCATTTTTACCATTCTTTAACCTTGTGATGGGAAAATATAGGTAGTCAACAACACGTAGGACCAGAAACCCTTAAGCAAAATTTCAAATTACGACAAAAAAAATCCGAATTGAAGTTACTGAAATGATCGAGTTAAAAACTCATACTTGGTATAACAACCTAGGAGAGGCAGGCAAAATATGCAGCCAAAAAGTTTCAAAAAGTCAATCGTTCATCACTGGTGTTCTTGGTAGTAAATATACAGCACATGTAAAAAACTAATTTTATTTTATATTCATTTCTTCATAGTCGAAATATATATATAGATTGGAAAATGTTGGAAATGTCACAAACATTAATAATTTGTTTCAAAGTTAATTTTAGCGAGAAAAGATACAAAAAAGTGGATCCATATTAAAAAAATAATAACATAAAATAAAATCTAAAAAAAAATCAACTGTCAATGGCATTTTTGCAATTAATTTCAGATTCTATTAGGGACATCGCATCGCAAGCAGTGTAAATATGCCCTAAGAACAGTGCTTACTAACTATTACATTAAGTCTTTAAGTCACTTTTTCACTATTCATAATTAACAGTTTACATGCCTGGTGAAATTTTGATCTATTCCCTGCTACAGCATTACAATTTTTTAGATAAATATGAAATTTGCTTACACCAATACATTTTTTTGTATTCATTACAATTTGCCGATTTAAAAAAAGGCTCTATAAATTCAGAATACATAAAAAACTCGTTTAAAATTCAGTTTCACAAAATCTGAGTAGGTACTACGGAAGAGTATAAAATTGAAATCAAATTTTCGACGATTTTTAAAGCTCATGAAACACCATGAACAACACATAATAAAGTGTTCATAACACTTAATATTGTATTTTGATTGATCGATAAAATAATGAATTTCATTTGTATTTAACATTCATGTATTTTTATAGTGTAGACTGTAGAGAAAGATCAAAGGTTAGGATATAGATCAAAACTAATTGGCGAAAAAAGAAAGTTTCATTTAAAATTTTCTTCATCACAAATTACGTGGAAAGGGAAATAGAATGAATGCTATTTGATTATATTCCACATCATCAATTAAAGAAAAAATTATACCTCCCCAAAAGTGACGTCAGAAAAAGATGAAGGTATGTTATCGTTAACCGTGTCGTAACCTCAAGTCTCCTATTTTTTGACAGTTTTTTTTCATTCCTTCTTGTAGTAAATGTTTCATGTTCAATAATTTGAAGTGCCTATATTTTAAACAATCAATTTATTAACAAGATGACATCCCGGGTAATGTGCATGACAAGGCTTCTCCCAGGCAATACGTCTATGCTCTTCAAAAATCTCCAAATAAACACATTCACCAAAAATCTCCAAATAAACACATTCAGCAGGAGAAATATATCATCATCGAGGCTTGTCATAAAAGAATTCGGAGATCCAAAAAATGTTGTTCAAATGGAAGAATACAAAACTGAATGCCCTGGACCAGGAGAAGTAAAATCAGGAATTACCCTTGAATAGATTGGCATATATTAATTTTTGGGTTTAAAGGTTCTGGTGCAAATGCTTGTAGCTTCGATGAACCCAGCAGACATCAATACGATTCAAGGTACATATCCGATTAAGCCGACACTACCAGGAGTTCCTGGAAATGAAGGTGTCGCAAAAGTAGTGAGTGTCGGTGCAGATGTGAACGATCTGCAAGTTGACGACCATGTCATGCCTAATGTTGAAAATTTTGGAACATGGCAGACACACAAGGTCATTTCTGCAGATAAATTGCTCAAGGTATATATACTTTTTTTAAAAGCTTATTGATCCTTACTGATTATCTTTGTCTGCCTGTCCTCACTGGGTTTGTCTGTCAAATGCGTCTCAACATTTTGCCATCTTCAGTGTGTTCAGTGTGCAAGCATGGAAGATGGTACAATTCTGACCAAATCAACAAGAATAGGCAGGTAGATGATAGCAAGGATCATATACTGGTTTACTACATAGTCCACAGGATGAAATCTCACAGCTTAGGAAATATTAGTATTACCAAGTATTTTTTTTTTTTAATGTTTAGGTCCCGAAGGAAGTTCCTCTAGTTGAAGTTGCTGGAATTATGAGTAATTGCAGCACAGCATATAGGATGCTTAAGGATTTCGTACCTCTTGAACCCGGTGATACTGTCCTTCAGAATGGCGGTAACAGTGCTGCTGCACAAAATGTAATACAGCTCTGCAAAGCCTGGGGATACAAATCAGTCAATGTTGTAAGGGACAGGCCTGATATTGACAAGTTAAAAAGTTATTTGAAGGAAATCGGTGCAGACGTTGTACTTACTGAAGAAGAAATCAGGTAATTGATTTATAAAAAATATACTTTGCTGTTACGTTAAAATTTTAATATTCCAGGACAACTAAAATGTTTAAAGAAGGAGAACTACCAGCTCCAAAACTGGCTCTCAACTGTGTCGGTGGGAAAAGTTCCAGCGAGCTGATGCGACATTTGGGCAAAAAAGGTGTAATTGTCACATATGGAGGCATGTCGAGGGAGCCCGTGATTGTACCCACGTCCCAGCTTATTTTTAAGGTATATCCATATAATCGGGGGAAAAAGAAGATAAGAACATGACATAATGTGATTGCAGGACATATCAGTAAAAGGATTTTGGATGACACGATGGACCAAGGAGAACCGTAACTCGGATGTAAGGAAGTGCATGCTCTCTGAAATAATGCAACTCATGTCATTGAAAAAGCTGAGAGCACCAGCACACAAGCTCATTCCACTGAGAGAATTCAATTCCGCATTGGATACAATAACAAATCCAAAAGGGTTTACAGGGGTGAAATACTTAATAGATTTCCGCCTCGGTTCTTGCTAAATTTTAAAGCCATGTTAATGTCTTAGTTATTTACTTATAAGACTTTTTTCTAGTTTCATGTTGTTTTTGTTTCTGTATATTATGTTGTTAAGAGTGAACATTATTAAAATCCTAAGTAACAGAACTGATATTGTCAATGTGCCTTTTGCTTATGTACTATGTATTAGTTTTTGTTTATGCCTTGTTAAGTTGATCTTTCTTTTAAACAAATCATAAATCAAATTGGCTTGAGTATTTTTTTAAGTAGTTTTTTAATAATTTTTTGTGAACATAATTAATGGTATATTGGAAAGTAAGTTGACAATTAGTGTATAATTTTTATTTGTTGGCCTAATGTTTTGTTAATGTTTCTATTTGTTGAATGGCAAGTATAGACATCAATTTAGGCTGTGTATTCTAACAAATGTAAATGGTTATAAGTGTTTTCTTTTTAAAATACACATTTCTGTATTTGTATTCATATTTCCTGAGACAACCTTTAATATGTTTATATAATCAAAATTTATGATCATCATGAACATAATAGGTCAAGAGATAAATAATTTCTCATAAAAAAATAATAATAATAAATAAGCAAACCTAAAACAGGGCAAATACTAGGAAACTGCTCTAAATTTCTAAACTTACTATCTTAATCAAACCATGGTAAAAGAAAAATCACTAAGCTGCTTGATGTTCTTAGAAAGTGTTTTTGATAACACTTAACTTCAATACATTGAAGAAGTAAAAAGGGCAGAGATACTTTCACTATAAACTGGATAACAATCAATGACAATATATACAAGGATGCCTCAAAGGGGAAAATAGCCACTCATATGGTAGTTGGTGGTTGATAATAAAGGGCAAATATGATGAAACTGTGTGAAGTGCTGTCAAAAGAAGGAAGGAAAATTCTGGGCGTCTACCCAAACAAAACCACACTAACACCATTCACATAGAAAAGTAAGCTTAACCTAAAATTCATCCTCTTTAAAAAATAAAAATCTAACTTTCTACAATGAACAATATACATGGGAATAACTTTATCAAAAGCTCAGAAGAAACAAATGCTACGAAAAGAAAAGGCCATAACAAGCATAGGCCAAACAATACAAATGCAAAGTAACCTACTGGCTGTATACAATACATTAGGCAATACATTCAGAGGATGGCATACAGACTTAAGAAAAATTAAATAAATCCTGACCTATTTTGATTAAACAAAATTTTTGACATACCCTTCCAAATAAAGTAACAAGAGATATTTGGAAGACAATAATAACCACTGGAACTAATAAAAGGACCTTATAAGCATGATCCCAAAGACACAAATGGCTTCCCTGAGGAATCGAAATATCAGTGAATAAAATTTTTATCAAAAGCTCATCTAAAATAAACAAATAAATCAAACCATAGGAAACCAAAAAGACATTAACAGGTGTGGGCCAAAGAGTAGTAAAACTTAGGGTATAAATATGCAAAACAACCTATTGGCTGAATACAACAACAATTACACAATACATTCAGAGGATGGCGTATGAAAGTGCAAACAGACCCTTAGGAAAAAGTTAAATAAAATGAGCTAACCTAACCTGACCAATTTCTGATTCCAATTAAAAGTAATAAAAAAAGAGAGGTTTGGAAGAAAACAACTCTCGGAACTAACAAAGAAAGTCCCTTTAAGGATGCCCCCAAAGACTCAAATAGCTTTCTTTGAGGAACCGACATATGAGTGAATATGGTTGCCATCATTTGGTTCATTAATCTAGTGAACCAAAGCTCAACAAATACAAATTACCCAAAAATTAGGCAGTGGATAAAGATTAGCAAACCTAAGCATCACAGAGGCAATAAAAACAACCAAATACTACATAACCTATTTCCATTGAAAACAAATATACAAGGTGAGGTTAGAAAAACCTCATACAGACTTAAATAATAATATATGGAATAAAAATACCTTGGTTCCTAACACTCATCATCCTCAGTATGATGGTCAAAAATCTTGGGAAAGAAGATACAAAACCAATTTGCAAAAATTACAAAATGTTAACATTACAGGGGCATACATTCATCAAGATTATGACAGACATAATACCATGTAAACAGACTATTGGATATGACAAAATAATACCTGACCTAAGAGAAAGCCACTATAAAAGGAAAATCCATCCTTTTAAGGAAAACTTAAAAAGGATACAACAATGTCTGAAACTTCCAAATAAGAGACGTTTGGAAAAATAAAACCCCTGAAACTAAAAATATATGGGCCATATTGTGGAAAACAGATCTAAAATGAAACATAGAATGGAGGCAGAAGTCAAAGGCTAAAATTTTGACCGAGCAAACCTCTTCCCCCTCACCATCAATTTTCCTAGCTGAGATCCATGTGATACAACTGTGTACAAGAAATACCTTTTAAATATTTTTTTAAAAATAAAATGGGCTAAAATAATGACAGATATACATATTCTCAGACAGTCAAGCAGCACTGAAAACTTTAGACTTCTCCACCTTCAACTCAAAGAGCCTGGGAATGCCTAACATATCTCTAACTCATCTGTAAATGAACCCAAGAAGACCAAAGTCAACCAAACAAAGATCTTTGACAAAGATTTTGACCTTAGAAAATAATAGATATCCTCAAACCGATTGGAGCAGACCCGCAAAATTGCATGCCCCAAAGGATACTAAAAGCGGAACTAAACAAATGAATGGAGAAAGAAATGATCACACACAAAGTGAATTCATTTGATGCAAAATAATCAAAGAAGTTCCTCAATGACTCAACCTTGAAAATGTACCTATCTACCAGCAAGTACAAGGAAAATAATCAGCATATGCCACCTCAAAATTTGGGCAAAACTGAAACAGAAGCAAACTCCGGCATGAAACAACATACTTTGGAAACCATTTTCTTGGAAGCTGTACAGCCTCATCGGAAAGGCCTGAAAAGTGCTCAACCACCCTAAAGGTAGTGCACTTCCATGGTTGGAAAATAAAGAAGGGACAATTCCACAATAGAGATTTTAGGTTTAGGGTAAGAAAAGGAGTCTAATGTCGCTAGTGACCACTAAAAGGAAGCCAAAACACCTTTTTGCTTCATTATGAAATACTTTTGTCACTGACTGAACTGCAGTTTGATCATCCATAATCCTTGTTATTCCAATCCACCTACACAGTCGCTATCACTAATATCAAAATCTGGCTAAATATGTAGTGAAAATATATGGATTTGACCTTGGATAGAAGAATTATTATCACAAGTATGAAACAACATATTAGCATTTAAAGGTATGTGAAATTGGCTTTCTACATCTTCAAACATCATAATTAGATGTGAAAAATGGCTTTGAATAATGAACAGATTGTTGATCTGTACAATTATTTTTGTTTAAGAACACCTATTTTTATTAACTTTATATAAACATTTTATATTAACTTTTTATAAACATTTAATACTGCATGCATGTTATTAGACTTTCATAGATAAAACTAGATTGAAATTAAAGCAATTTTCAACAAAATAACTTTATTTTTTGAAAGCACATCAGTTTAAGGGAGGTTTAGCCATTTCTACCGTTTTGTAGTTAATTTATATTATCTATAATATTCAAGGAAAGTTTTCGTCTTGACAAACCTTAATTTCTAGTTTAATTAATAGACATTGAAAAGAAATGGCATCACCCTTAAACACCTCGTAGGTTTAAAATTACAGATCAACTCAATTCTTCCATTAAGTCTAATAAATCAAATTGCGACTGATCTTTAGTAATGGGCGGTTGCATCTCAGCTAGAATTTTGTTTAATGCTTCTGTGTGAGGATTAGGTTCAAAAGCATCATCCGTCGTATTTGTCGAGCTGCTTTCCATTTCCATTTGTGTCATACTACTACAGACAAAAAAAACATTAGTCTTTAGGAACAATACAATTAAAAATTGCATTACTTTTGTGGTTGTTCGTTACTGCTGAAAAGTTGAAGAGAAAACGAATCATCAGGTAGTCTGACATTTTCCTGGCCGAGTTGGGCGACAAGAAGGTTGATCTCTTTTCTATACCTTTCCTGACCATCGTAGGATATCTCGCTTCTATCTGAGTCAGTTCTCGAAGCACTGTATCTATAAATGTCAAGGAATGGAAGAAGTTTGTTTTATGTCTTTGTGATGTTGGCTTACATGTTAGTCCCCAACAGTGTGTTCCTTATGCCCCTTAACTCTGTAGATCCTGGCTGGCTTGCTGCTGTGTATTTTCCACCGGAATAAAAACTCAATAAATCTATTGGCAAACCTTCCCTTGAATATATGCGGATTTTTCCTGGTGTTTCACTTCCTGGAAAAAAAAATTATATTTATTCTTTAAATTCACTCTCAGTCTTTCGTTTTACTTTGGTACCCCAACTCACTACTGATGATGGTGAAAAGCCAAAATATGTTTGACATAGCGAACCAGCAAGGATGGGAAGAACAAAATGATTTATAATGGCCAAATTCCTAGCAAGAGTAAAATGAGGGGAACACAGTGACTTTATCATGAACTATTGTAGACCATTGTAGTCAAAATTTTTTAATTCCCTAATGAATATTCAAATTATTTTTTTTTACAAAATAACTACTTTATATGGAGAACTAACTAAATATATATAATTAAATATATTTTTACTTTTAGAATAATATATTTGGCAGGGGCGCAGTAGGCGAGTGGTTAACTACTACTCTTGGCTATACATCCTGCAGTCGTGAGTTCGATCCCCACCGTCGCCTCTGGACTTTTCTGACACCTTAACCCGGTGGCCGAATTGAAAAAAATTGACACGGCACTCATCAATGGAAGGGGTGGGATCAGATCTTAGCGACCCTGAATTTGGTCCCAACCCCCTTCAAAAATGAATTTCTTCGATGGAAGAACACCAGTACAATGGGGGCTCAGGTTCACATTTGTGTTGCGAGCCCCCCGCCCTCAAAATATGGAGCCAGGGATAAAGTACAATAAGCTGTACAGCTCAGCTGTAGTGGAAAAAAAATGGTCTGCAATGACCAACATATAGGTTCTATTAAGTAATTATTTAATAGTATAACATTCAAAATTGACTATATAATTGACAGTATTAATTTGATAAAAATTAATTAACTAAATGGATAAATTTCATTAATTACCATAAAAAAGTTGCAAATTAGTTGGGATAACAAAGCTCCCATCAGGATTTTGAAGCCTCTGTCTTAAAAGAAGGGACACCCTGATCCTCACATCTTGCAAGAAATTCAACAACGAATACCTCACTCTTTGCAATTCGCCACAGGTCATTTGGCCATAGGTCTGAAAATTAAAATCCGTCAACCACTCATATTAAACGAATCAATTAAAACTCACCTTAATGAACATAAAATAAGCAGTGTCTAGCTGTTTTTGGATGATGGGGCAGGTAACCAAGGCTCGAATTGAATCGAGATGGTTTAGCGTAATCAAAACAAGCTCTCTTGGATGGGATGCACTGAAAACCTGCCATTTGAAGACCATCGTCATCAAATCATACAGCTTGTTCATACTCGTCTCGTTAAGCCTCATTATGGAAGCGTGGGCCAAGTCGTAGAAAAGTGACTTGAGAGCGCCTTTGTTGTAAATTTCTTGCGGTTTGAACAGCTCTTCCATGAAACGGTGGTTGAACATGATCCTTACAATGTCATTTAATACTTGAAAAAAAAAAAAAAAAATCAGTAAAGCAACAATGAAAAAGTGAAACGAAAGAATGATTTTCTACAATTCAACCACTCCTCAACATACATTTTCTCATCTATTTCTATCCTTTAGCAGAAAACATTGAAGATGGAGAAATGTCTAAACATAAAACTTAAAAACAGATGGACCTTGATGATCAACACATTAAACTTCAACAATCAAACCAACAAAAGTTCTTTACTTAAATTATTGTAAATTATTTAGGCAATAAAAATCCTATCATTTTGGTCTGCCTATCCTACTGAGTTGATTTATCAGGCAAATTTCAGTAAAGACATCCCAGCAAGCAGACCAAAATGATTTGTAATGATCAAATTGCAGGTTAAAAACAGAATTTTGTTCTTACAGAATTTTGCTATAACATTGATATTTCAGTATTTGATTATTTTCTTGCTTATGCATTTTTATTTTATTATTTTATAATACATCATTGAACTACTTAGCATAATTTTTATCAAGATTTCTTTGTTGATCTGAACGTTGATGAACTGGCAGACCAAAATGATTGGTAACAATCAAATTTCAGGATCATCACCACATAGACAACACTTAGAAGTCTTTCAAAAACATTATTACAATTTTATTTATCTAGTTAATTGTAAAATAATTAATATATTGGAATATTTTTATTATTCTTTTAATAGCTTTTTATTATCTATTATTCTTTTTTATCTTTATATTTGTTATTGTTATTTTTTTAATGTAGTAAGTTTAAGTAATGTTTAATGAGGCGACTAAATGGCGCAAGCCCCATGCCTCCTGAGAGCTACCCACCATGAGAAGGAAAGGGGAACTGGAACTCTTCCTTCTCATACTTTTAATAAATTCTCATTAATTAATATAATTTTAATATTGTGAGATTCATGGGGTCTGCAGATTGACAAACCTGTATTTTTACTATTTACAATTATTTTGGTCTGCATATCCTGACTATTTTCGATTATAAGATGCCAACCAATGTATCATAGAGCTAAAATACATTTAACAGACCAAAACAGCAAGGAATAGGCAGACCAAAATGACTGGTAACAACCAAATTTTAACAGCTAAAGTAACTAATATTAAAAACTATTACTTATTAAATCAATTCCACTTTATTTATTCATTTATAAGAAGTTCATTGACATTTTAATAAAATTTACTATTGTGACAATAGGTCCAAATGACTAAACTTGTCATTATACGTTTACATTTGGATTTGATCACATTTTTTTTACCTTTTATTAAATTATAATTTATTAAATAACCATCTCTCTATTTATTATTTATTTAAAAATAGCAAGTAGATAATAGAAACAATTTTTATCATGAATTGATTGAGTGAATTGGAACAATGCTCTAAAAATTACCAAAAAGCAAAATGTCATTGACGAAAGTTTTTTTTTTTAATTATTACCAATTTCATTTTCTACAATATACTTAAATTAATTGAAAATTATTTTTATTTACATTACAGAATCATTGTTGAATTATATTTTAAAGAAATGTTTAATTCATTTATTTAAACCTGGATTGCTACTAATAATAGATCAGTAAAAGAAAAAAGGCCAAGTACCTTTTCTAGCTTTCTCGATTGCTATGTTCTGAGCACGGAGCCTCTGGTCCAGTATGTAAACCATCTCTCCTCCGAGATTAATGAACAGAAATGGCAATGTATACTGTGTCATCATGGACGAGTTAGCTCCTTGGGCGAAACACGTTAGAAGCTAAACTGTCCACTTGCACATTGATCTGTTGCCATGGGAGCAAAGCACCAACAAAAAAGTTATAAAGACCTAATGAACCACCTCCTTGTATGTATAATTAGGATGAATATTTAACATTAATATGATGGTGATATTAATGGATTGATTATAATAAGTAAAGTGTTGAAAAAAGAATTGATTGAAAATACATTTTTGGATACTTTTTTTCTATAATAACCAATTTTTTAAGTCAAAATTTATTTGTCAAATAAATGATTGGATTCTCTACAGGAAATAACGTAGGATTAGTTTAAAAAAAGATTATTTCTTCATAATATTTATAGGTGAATTAATTAAATTAAATTTCTTGCTTTTATGTTTAAATTTGGAATACCTGAATCATTTTTAAAAATATAAATTAGATGAAAGAAAAAAAATTTCTTTAACTGGAATTAGATTAAGTGGTAAATATATGATATTTATATTAATGGAATTTAAATTTAAAGGGGAATAAATAATTTAGAAACATATTATTAATCTTTCTCTCCTGGATATCAAAGAGTTTTTTTTTAAGGAGAAAATAAATCATTCAGAAAATGATAATGTTCATTCCTTCAACAAATGGATTTATTTTCCATTCTTAAAGATTTAGTCTAATAGAAAATAAATTATTCAAGAATGAATTATTACAACTGCTGGTATAATTTAGAGTTCAAAATATGCTTTAAATAGATAATAAGCAATTAGCAACACAAATCCTTATCACCATTAATATTCTTTAAGCCCTATTTTGAATCTTAAGTTTATCATAAATGTAAAAGAAGCAGACAAGAACTTCCAAAGTTAAAATCTTAAATTAAATTTATTAGAGTTTGTGGTCCGATTGACTGAATAACATTTTTCAATTAATTAATCTTTATATAAGGCATTGGTTGAGATAAAAAAGTTAGTGCCAGTTATTGTACAATTTTAATACCCGGTTTAATTTTTAGTTGTAAGTTGTAAATTAATAATTCTGAATAAATATAATTAGCCAGTGTTTTTAAATTTTTCATCCTAATGTATTTATCATAAATAAAAATTAATAATCCAGAACAAAAGAATAGTCTTTTTTTATTTTGCCAAAATGTGATTCCATTATGGATCATTTTTATTATGTTTTAGGCTTATTTTTAAAAGTAGATTTTTTTAAACACAATCTTTAATTTTTAGCATCTTTTGAGCCATAACCATGCACGATTTTTTTTTTTTTTCGTAACCTTTAACATGTAATTAAGTAAAATAAAAACCACATAAAAAAAGCACCACTAAGTGATTGATACCAGCAATCATATTATAATTGCATATTTCAAAGTTTCAGCCCTGACAAAGGGGATATTCCCTGAAAACTTGTTAAAGGAACAGTGTTTTCATTTTTTTTCCAAAATGGTCTTATCCCCATTTTTTACACAAAATTAACACATTAATATTATTTAGCAGCTAATGGATGGACAAATAAATTGTACATAAGCTCTAAATTTACATTGTCATATTTCCCTTCATCTAGTTGGCAGGAGAAGCAATAAAAACAAAAATGAAGTAAACAATAGACATATCCAGACATTTTATTCAACTAATCCACCACTAAAAATAGAAAAAAGAAAGAATCTGACAAACTAAAACAGCAACAAAAACATGTAGCTGCAGTTCATCAGCGTGCAAGCATCAAGAATAATAATCAAGCCTCCATTCTCTTCAATGCCTTAGCTTTTTCACTCCACAGAAAACTATAGTTCTCTTTATTAAATTGTAATAATTCCTTTATTAACTTTTATTTTATTATTTTTTCACTTTCCTTAGATTCTCAATCTTCTCATCATCTTGCTTATCATTCCGCATTAGGCATGTTATGATCTTAAACCAAGGGAATTAATGTCGTCAGCAGCCTTAACATTCTAAGCATTTATAAACTTAAAGTTTTAATATATTTATATTTCAAATTAAATCAAATAAATGTTTTCAATATCTATCAACTTTTTTCTCATATTCCTTATTCAAACATCAATTTTTTACAGGCACCTTCGAGAGGTTAGCAAGCTAAGAAAACAGGATACAAAATGTGACAGAGTCTGTGACAAAGATGTACGGAAAAGATAAAGTTTTATTTAAAACTCAGAGGCCTGGAGATGACCATTTAATGTTTGTCGGCCCGTAACACATATATATTTGAACATCACTGAAAATGGCTAAATGCTACAATTTTCTGTCCAAATCAGAAATAACTGAAAGCTAGAGATTAATTATATCCTAGGCCTCAGGAAGAAATCTTACAATTGATTTTATTGATCTTTTTTATTTTACTTTTTTAAATTGTTAACCAAGTAAATAATTAGGAATAGTTTAAAATTCATGTTGAAAAGATATATTTCCCAAAAGCTATATGAAAGAAACAATTTTTTTAAAATTTTCTTTATTCCTGATTTTAGAAAGAAATATAATTAGAAAAGAAGCAGTTTAATAAAAAAAATTATTTTTCTTCAACTGCTAGTTAAATTTAGGCATGCTGAGTATTCTTATTTCAGGAAATAAAGATTGTAGTAAAAAATGTTGTTGCTCTTTAATTGCAAGTTAATTTTTGGTATATTGTGGGCTTTATTAAATAGAAAAGAAGCAGTTTAGGAAAAAATGTTTTTGCTTTTTAACCACCAGCTATTTAATAATACATTGAATTAACAGCTAGTTAAATTAGACTAACACTTTTCAATAAGGAAAATAAAATATTTACTTAGTTTGTTTGAAGGTATGCTTTTTTGGGGGAAAATAAATTGACAAAATGTATAAAATTAAAGCATTTTTCTTTTTCATTTTTCAAACAAAATTTAATTTATGTTACAGTTTTCTGTTTTATGAATTTTAATTATTAATTTAAATTATTACAAATTAAATTTAAATAATCCTTTGTGTTAAATATTTTTTTCATGGTCATTTTTTTAAATGGCTTTTAATGGTTGAATGTCTTTTTTTCAGGATATACAGAAATCGATTTAATTTAATGTTAGGTAAATAATTTATTACTATCATCAAAAGAATAATATTTTTAATAAAATGTTAGAAACAAAAAGATGCATATATATTATTCTACATCATCAGTCTCATCTAGGATAAACCAACTGTAACCTCCCAAGAAGGTTAATAATCATCTGTCAAAACAAGTTCTTTAAGGTCTCAATCAGTTCCTTGACATGAATACATTTTTGAAAAAATATTCTTAAGCGTCAACTTCAAAAGAAGATGGACAAACTGACAGTCATATCAGGCTCCCTGTTTCTTGTTGCTGACATATTCGCGATTGTGAGCTTGGCCACACCCGACTGGATCATCACTGATGTTGGAGGTACGTTGTATACTTAGGGGTAATGACAGTGTACATATTGACCTTGCAATTTCAGGTGATACGAGGCTTGGTCTGATGTGGACATGTATGACCGTATACAACAGGCCGCAGGTTTGCTTCACACCCGACCTCCAACCCGAGTGGACAATGGCCCTCATATGCATATTCATCGGCTGTATATGCATTACAACGACGATCATACTTTTGATTACTTCACACTGGGACAGGAACGTCATCCCTTATGCTAGATGGGTCGGCTTTACTGCAAGTAAGAAAAGGCAAAAAAATTTTTTTGTGGATTTGTGATCCATTTTTTGCCATAACTTTCTTTTATTTTTTACGTTTTTAATTCTTGTTTGTTCGAATTCCAGTGGTGTTGTTTTGCTTAGCAGCTGTTCTATTTCCGATGGGATTCCACATAGATGAAATCGGAGGGCAGCCTTATCAACTTCCGAACAGCCACCAAGTCGGTATATCATATATTCTTTTCGTCCTCTCACTCTGGGTTACGGTGATGTCGGAATTGTTTGCCGGCAAAGTCTGCCTCCCACATTTTTGATTAGTTCTTCATTTTATCGGATAAATGTAACTCCCTTAAGAAAATTTTTTTTTGTATTTTCTACAATGTATATATATCAAGTAACAGAGTAACTTATTAATTTGTAAATATTAATTTCCAATGTACAAACTAATTTTCATTTTTTATAAACAATTCCATTAAAGTGACAAATATGTATATATTTTATTTATAACTATTTGTCTATCTCTCACAACATAATATCTTTTGATCGAAATTGATTAAACTAAAGAATCTCATTTATAATTGTGGATTTGTACAAAGTTTATATTCACTGTTGTAGACAAATAAATTTTTTTCCCAATTTTGTTTATTCTTGTGAGAGTTTTCCTAATCTGTAATTCAGTCGTTGCCGGTCATCCTATTCTGCCTTTAATCTGACTGCAAAAGAACCTGGTAGGTATGTTCTTCTAATTCTCAGGGTATAACTTCTAGTATGCTGCCACTAATGTTTTCATTTTGTTTGAAAATTTTGGTGAGGATAGGCAGCCAAACAATGGTCAAACTCAAGTTAGGTCTTTGTCCAAGTAGTCTAAGAAGAAATATGTAGCAATGGGTAGTTTCCCGACTTTTCAGTCGAGTAAGACCTAAGGACACTAGATTAATCAAATTGGAAATATATTCTAGGAAAAGCTCATTTAGACTTCAAAATAAATCTAATTGGATGGGGACTAAACATTTCAGGCATACAACAATAGTAAATAAGATCAGATAACCTTATCTCAAAATGGGGACTGGCAGTATGGAAGGAATCGAAAAGAGACACAGGGAGAAGTGGACAAAATCTACAGATGGCAGACACAAAACGTTATGGTAAAAGAACAATTAAACTGGCAAACTAAATGAGAAGAAAGAAACAGCCACCATGTTATCTTTGAATGCAAAGCAACTGCTATTAGAGATAACTTGTGATATAAAGAAAACCCAGGAAAAGAGTTTGCAGCATCAACAGGGATTTAATACTTCTTAAAAGAAGGATTGATTTAAGTAAGTAGAAGAACGTTGGAGTGCTTGGGGAACATGAAACCCCATTTCCTTGTTTCCTTTCATCATCAACATAAGGAGATATTTATAGGGTTGGTTAGTTTCCTGGTTTTTCAGCAAGCAGCAAGAAGCAAACCGGGATAACAGTTTTAGTACAGGTTAAAGTGGGGGAGTTTGCTTCGGTCTTCTCCAGACAAAATCAATCATTGTCTGATGCCGATTTGTGACCAGTTTGATTCAAACATTATCAAACAAAGGTAGCATATATATATTTTTTTTCTTTCTTTTTTGGCATTAGCCATCGGAAAGTAGCATATACTAAGCATTTGTTTAATGTAGGTTCCCACACCTCTATCTTTTAAGAAATGACCGGCTTGTGCTATTGTCGAGGTTGCAAATCACATGATTTATTTTCTGCAAAACAGAACAAATCCAAAGGAGTCAGAAAACCCCACATTGACATTAAAAAAAGTGTAATTCAAGAAATAGATTAATTGTCAGAGGCGAGGAAACAAAAAGTTTAAAGAACTATATATTTAGGCAATTGAAAGAGCAAGAAATGTATGATTTCAAAATGTTCAATGAAAATCACCAGTCTATTTGAAGCCATGCTAATTATGGCGTTAGTGCTTCAAAATATTTTGGGTACACAAAATATAATATTGTAATTTGTTACATAATCAGACTGTATACGGAAAAGATATCTTCAATAGAGTTCACAAATGGCTAAACACATTTTGTCTATGGTCATTGTTCCAGTCGTATTCATAAAAAAAATTTGTTTTGGTTTGTTTCAAACAAATTGGCTAATTCAGTGTGTTTTAAGCCTAAGGTGGTTCCGTGTACAATGGATAATCATACATAGTGCATAATATACAATATAAGGTTAGACTGGTTTTTTTCATAGAATCAATTACAACGGATAAAGGTGGAGGTTTAGTTGTTAAGATTAGCCAGGAAAGGACCAGACTCTGAAGATACCGAAACAAGTCTGACAGATCAAAATAGCAAAGATAGGCAAATCAGGATGATTGGTAACGATCAACTTTCAAATTTATTTATCCTATCAAGTTTTAATTTGGTTAAAAGTTAAAACCAACCAGCAGGTATTATTTCTTGGTAAAATGTAGTAATAAAATTGTAACATGATTCTATTAAATTATCCCTGTGAATTTTGTCATGTACATTTGGCCTACTTGGGTTCTAAAAGTTAATTTGGGATGGAACTATCAAAGCACTTATGATAGACAGACCAGTGAGAATAAGTTGACTGGGATTAAGATTCAAAATAATTTTCTGCTTTATAATGGAATAATAAAGAAAACTATGTACTTCAACTTCTTGAGATGTGTTTAAAACACTAAAGTAAGGGGCAGCTGTTGCTAAGTGTTCAGCGTGATAGCCCCTGGTTCTTGACTCCGCAATCGTGGATTCAATTCCCACCGTCATGCCTGGTCTTTTTTCTCATGCAACCCTTTCCCCCAACTATTTATTATGAAGATAATCAACGAATAACGGAATCGTACTCTGGCTAATACGCAAGCTCATATGGCCATTAAATAAATAAAAAATGTATTTAACATGCAATTACAGTTTCAATATCCATTTTTACACAAAGACATGCTGTAAAATAGCTTTTAAATTGTATAATTTTTAATTGTGTTCAACAATTGAAAACTAACTAGATAAATAACTAATATTAATGACAATTTTTAAATTTACATTTTTAAGTAAAAAGTACTGTAGATATAATAATTTTTATTAAACATCACAATCTTATTTTATGTTTACAAAATGTTATTTCATGGAAGGATTAGGCTCAAATCCTTTGCTGCCAAACAATAACATGCCTGTTCAAAGAAACTTCAGCTCGTTTCTAAGCTAAAGAGAACGGTTAAAAATGTCAGAAAAAGATCAAAAAAGTAGATATATATTTAACAGGAAACAGTCTCAATTGAGCTATTATGAAGAGGACTTTTATTGCTTCTCTTGCCTTCCTAATGAAGGAAAGTATGACAAGGTAAATTTTCAAATTATACAAAATTTTATTGTTTCGTATGATTTTTTTTTTTTTAATAACTGCTACTATTTTCATTAAAATGTAACTTAGCAACTTCAAACTTAGACGATTTACAGCAAATAAGTTTTGTATGATTTCTCGTGTCTGCTGTGTGGTGAGCTTCCTTGGGCATTTCTGATCATTTCGGCCTCAAACTATTTTGTTTGTATTGTAAAATAGTTTGGGTCTCAGCATGGTCTGGATGAAAAAACAAATTCAATAGTTATTGCCAAGTTTTCGACCTATTTTAAAGTCATCAACAGGGCAAATTAGTCGTAGACCCCTTATTGCGTCAATATTATTTCCTCTGGATGTTTTTTCTCCATATTTACATAACTCTTTGCCATTTATTGACTTACATTTCAATTTACATTTCAAACAGCTCACTTGTACCAATTTGATCCATTTTGGTGTTGTAAAACTGTTTAAATTGTCTCAAGGTAACATTTGATGAAGTCAATTACAGATTTTGCGTAATAAAATCATGCTGAACATTAAAAAACTAAATTTCCAAATTATGCTTGCTTTTATGAATGGGGTTAAAAATAGTTTTAACGAGGAAATGATCATGATTTATTTTACTTTATTTAACAAATTTCACATTCTCACCAATAAAAAATAATAAATCTTAAATGCAGATAATTGACTGATAATAAAATTGTAAAATTTAAAAATATAAGACTATTGTAGTAGCAAAATCATAAAAATCAAACTCACAAACTTTGCATCAGTTTTTTGACCATCTTAACTGCAGAAGATTGTGATAGATAAGGCCTTCAATTATTCTCTTTCTCTTTTTGACCAATAGTAGAAGCTCACTTGGAAAAATAACATAAAAAAAATGAATGTCTCTTTTACCGAAAAAGTCTGTCAATTCTAAGAAAGTTAAAAATACTACAATACACTCTATAAACTAAAATGTTAGCAGCGAATAAAATAAAATAAAATATTATTATTCAAGGTATTCTACTCTGTGTTTTCAAGGAAAAGTGTAAAGATTTCTGTTCATTTTGTCGGCTGAACTCAGACCTTGCTTAGGATGAAAGCCTCAATAAAAACAATAGAAACAAAAGAAAAATAACAAAATTAATCACAAATATTTTTAATTATAATGCCCTTCTGAGTTCAGGAAATTTATAAATGATTGAACTTAACTTATGATTGTTGGATGAAGTACTCGATCTCAGGTACTGGACGAACTTTTAAGTTGATGCTTGTACTTTGCTAAGAATAGTAACTTATAATTAGGTTAAAATTTCTGTTTGCTGCCTGGGTGTTGTATTATGTAGGAGTTCTATTTATTTATTTTTATATTAGTTTTCTTTTCATAAAAATAAGTGATTGTTTTTAGTATCAAACATTTTACGCACTGCTTGGAGGAATTGTGCTGATCGCAAGCATCTGCCTCCTTGGGATCGATTTGGTGTTTCACAAACCAGTTCAAGGTGAAGTCATACCCGAGATCATCCCCGAGACACCAAGACGCCGGCACAACAACACTCCGGCATCAGCGTTCTCGAGCTCACCCGTCCTCGCCCCAATGGAGTTCTGGATTTGATAGTACAAACAGTTTGGTAAAGAGAATAATATTGATAATACAAAAAAGTATTTTATTCTGTATAGCTTTGTAACAGTTTCTCCACACATATATTGGTCATACATTTGGTTTAATATTTATATTTATTTATTTTTGTAAATTACATTTCAGCTTTCATACAAGTCAATTTAAAACCCGTTTTTCTTTTAAACTTTTTAATTTGTTAAATTGTAATTATATTTTGAAGGTATAAGAAGGTATAATCAGAGGATGAACATGCGATGCACTCCTAGGTGCAATTAAATTCAAAAATTCAAAATACCAAACAGCACATTACTATATTCAATAACCTAAATCTATGGATGTTTCCGTCCTTAATAATAATTGTAATAACAATAATGATAATCATAACGATAATACAATTTTTTAAATGCATCAAAATGTTAAAATTGGCTTTGTTTGTTTATATGAATATAAAATACAATGTAAAAAACATATATTTAAAAAAATATTATGTAGTTATCACAAATTAAAATATCAATTAATCAACAATTGAATAATATTTTTAAAAACCTAATGTTATTTTATATATGTTTTTATTAACATAAAAAATCAAATGAGTGATAAAAAACAAAAAGAATGTTTAAATTATAAGTGTATGTCACTTAAGAATAAATTTAGCACCTTTTGCAAATAAAAACAAGTATATTTTGAAAAGTGTTGTACACAACTTTTCTCGTCAAATAAGAGATAAGGGTTAAAAATTAAATTGACTCGCTGGAGCTATAAGCGCTATAGTTTAAACAAAATCATTCATAATTCCATTGTACAATTTTTATAATGATTTCTGCATTAACACCGTTTAAAAATAATTATAAACTATGTAAAATGTTTAAAATGTGAAATAACGTGTGTGCAAGGAAGCTGTCGACGGATTAACATAAACAAAGCTAATGGCGTTAAACTTTAGAATACATTGAGCATTAAATTTACTGGAAAATGGAGAAATCAGCTACTGTGCACTTTACAATTTATATCTCTGCTATAAAAACCTACGTTATGGGAGAAAAAAAGGAAACATATTTACATCAAAATGTCACCAATATATACAAATTTATACAATTTGTCACAAAACGAAGACTTAGTGGAAGCAATATTAAAAAATATAATATATTTTTTCTTCATTTCTTTCATTGTCCCTCATTATAACATTGAACCATAAACTCCCTTTGGGTCTGGTGTATATATTATCCAACCACCTGCTTGACCATAACTTTAACTTTTCATTTTACAGTATTTTCAGGAATTTTGATATTCCATTGAATTGGGAAATTAAAAAGCGTACAAAACAAAAACAAACAAAAAAAATACAAACAAAAGAATATAAAAATAATTTAATAAACTTTATTGAACATATTACTACTAAAAACTGTACAATAACTAAATATGAAACCAATGAAAAAACAAGAAAGAAACAAAGCATATAGTTAAAGTAGTGCAGGTGATTTTTTAAATTGTTTATTATTTTTGTACCAACGTGTTTAATATTCACATTTGTTTTAAATAATGGGTTAGATTTTTATTGCAATGATTTTGAGGTTTAAAAGACACGATTTTCATTAATAATGAGGGCTCATTGACAGCAAACTTACCAATATCAGACATTTCTTTTTGAAATAAATTCAATTTTAAATTTAACAATAGAAATTGATTTGAGCTAAACAAATGAAAATTATATCAAGCAGCACATCAACAGGGCAATTCGATTATTTCTGAATAAAAATCTTTTAATATCGAGGCACAGTGATTTGGGGCTTTTCTATTTAAATGTAGTTCTTTTCTTCATATTTTGCAGAAATTAAAACTTTTTAAAAAATAAATAAAGATTGATTATGTTAATATAAATAAAAAGAATCAACAATTTTATTAGCCCTAATGATGTAGTGTTAATTAAAAAAAAGAAAAAAAAGAGAAATATTGTTTACAACCAAGTCAACATTCATAGTTTGACTAGCGTGTTTTTAAATATTATTTTATCACTTTAATAAAATTGTTTTAAATTTTAAATCCAAGTTTAGATTTTTAGTTGAAAGGCAAAAAATCCAATTGTGTAAATATTATTAATTTTTAAAAACAGAGATTTGCATTACAAGATAATTGGCAATCTTCTAATTCCAGTCATCTAACAATTTGTCTATTCAACAAATATTGTTTAAGTCGTTTCTTGTTGCACTAAAATTTTAATTTATATAAGTCAACTACATACAAATTCGAATGAATTCGTAGCCCCTCATAAGAGCACTTTTTTAAAGATCCCATTAAATCAAATCATTCATAATACCCACACAGTTGTCAGGTAATGCCATTGTGTGTGTGTACTATAATGACAACAACACTTAGAACTAATACCTTCTTAAGTAACTACAAGGTTTTTTAAAACAAAAATTTAGAATAGGAATTAATAATTATTCAAAAAGTATAAGCTTGAAATCACTAATAATATTCACTCTAACTGCAAAGCTGTTCTCATTTTGTCTAAAATTTTTCTTTGTATCACGTAATTCAATGAAATATACAATTCTATACGATGGTCCAGTGTTTTGACTATAATTTCAATTTTATTAAATTATGACTATTTAAAAATGCATAAATTGAATTAAAAATGTACTTGTTTGAATGCAAATATTTTTGAAAAATGCAAGGAAGCAAAACTTTTAATATACATATATAGTTTTGTATATATATTTGTAATTTACAAAGTTATAACTTGATAGGATTTATATAAAGAATAAATTGGAAAAATGTCACACTGTACAGTTTAGTATTGATGTTTTAAGCCATGGCTAATTAAAAGGCAATATTAATGCATCGCATCTGCTAATTGAGTACTTATGTACATTTTTCCAGTATCAGTTCCAAGTAAGTACTTGATATTACTTGTTGTGGTAATAACTTGTGTGTTTATGTGTGTAATATGCACGCGAGTGAATGAAACATCTTAATTTTGGGAGATTTAAACTTCCCTAAATCTTTTTATTTTAAAACGTGTCACACAATAGCTAGTAATAATTTTAAAAAGTCAATTTTTCAAATTAATATTTTTTTCTTTTTGTCAGTGAGGGGGACACCCACATTTAGTTGGAAGTTAAAAAATTCAATAATCTCTTCTAAATATGGCCAGTCACTTTTTGTGAACTTATTTTAAAATATCACTCAACATCTCTTATCAGGCGAAAGGATGCCTTTTTAGAGATCGGTGTTCAATCTTATCTAGTACAAGATTTCTTTCCTTGAAATGCCAAAACACGAGTGGAGCAGCAATTGTCCATTCTAAGTTCTATGTACATTTATAACTTTTTTTAATGCAAAGTTTGTCATAAAAGAAATTATGCGTTTCTATGTAAAATTAAACCCATAATAGAAATTAATTCAAATTTGTTTATTTGTAGACAAAATTGAAAACCTATTTTTTAAATGTATACATATTTCAGGGTGGTATTTACTGAATTTTATTATAATTGTAGGCTTTCAAACAAAACAAAAATATTTCAGGGTGCATCTAAGGAGCAACTATTGTCTATATTTGGTCCATATTTTCTGTAGTCATACCTACCAGTGCCTGGACGGACATTGGAACTAAATTTTCTATTGTGCGCCTATTCAAAATTTAGAATCCACTGATTTTTTTTTTCTTGACAAACTTTTCTAATAATTTTAATCATTTATATTACATACGCTAACACTTCTAACACAAATAAAACACTGAATAAAGGCTTTAAAATCTAAGTTTGTCTACAAGTTGAGCAATGTCCACCAGACAAATGCTGCTTCACTTCTTTGGCACTGTTGGGCTTATCGAACTTTTAGTAATTTTAGCACCCCTACAAATTAGCTTTTGGTTAAGCCAGCTTAAAGTTAAGTTAAACATTTAAAGTTGATGTTTTAAGGCCCCCACATCTTAAAATGTCAAAGTGTTTCAGAAATATTTAAGAACAGATATTTAGCAAAACATATACCATCTGCCATTTTTATTTAGTTTTTTTTTTAAATTTTATTATTTCAACTTTATCTTTCTATGAAAATTGATAAGCTTATAATTGCGACAAAAATGGCATATTTGATAGTTTAAGTAAGGGGACCCCATTCGAAATCAGTTTAGGTAGTTCAAATCGCATATTAAATGTTTATTATTATCAAAGCTTCTATTTTCTAGCCTTTGAATATGAACAGACTATCAAAATATATACATTTTTGTACTGTTTGATATCGTGTATACTTCTTCTCTAGCATGTTTACTTTTTGCTGATTTTTTTTTAATTTAAATTTTTTTTTTAAATATTGTTCATTGTTAAAAAGCATTAAGAACATTAAAACTAATATAAATTTACTTCGTTTTTTTTCTTCAAATGAATGCTAATTAGCAAAACTCACAATTTTTTTTAAAAAGCGAAGATGGGAAATATTTTTAAAATATTTATGTTTATGCAAATTGCGTCAGAATTAATTGCATTAGTTTATGTGTAAATTTCCTGATAATAAAATTGGATTGTATTATTAAAAAAGAAATATCAATGATAAACGTTAAATATTTGAACCACCTTGGAACTACAAGTTAGTAGTCAATTTAAAGGTTTTTTAAATAAATGAAATTAAACCTATGTACAAATTGTGCTTTAAAAACATAAATATTTGTTTGCAGGGACAAAATGTCTTTTACATTTATATGAAAATTTAAAAAAAAGTTATGTGCTTAACATGTCTCCCAGGATAAAATTTAAAAAAAAGCATGAAAACTCAGTGAACTGTTGCAATAAACGAAAAAGATTTTAAATGAACTCTCTTCTTTCCATTCGTTGGTTATAGTACTTCAAATGACCTTAATTACAGTGCAAACTTACAACATAAAATAGCACTTTAGTTTATTTGATTTTATACATTACTTTAAAGCGTCAAAATTGTATGTTTTAAAAAAGATAACTGCATGACCATAGTGTTTTGAATGAGGCGGTGGTCATATAGACGAACGATGAGAGGAGATGGCAGTGGTCAGTGGTGGTGTCGGGGGAGGAAGGGGCTGAAGAGTAAGTCTCGGGGAATACTTGGGCATCCACGTGCAAGTACAACTGCACACAGACCCGGTATCGCCGACTGAGCTCGATTCTCCTAAAGGGCGGCCACTCGTTAATGAGCCGTTTGCAGTAATCACGTCTCCCTCTAACCTAACTGCTCCTTGCGCTGCCTGAAAAAGAAATTTTTGACATTACATTAACAAGGCTTTGTCAATAAAGTGTACAACATCATGGGTGGATGATACAAAACATTTATCACAGGATCTTCTGTGCATGATGGCTCTATCTCTGACTTTCTGAAAATAAATAATCAACTAGCAGAAATGCTTAAAATCTAAAACCACAAAAATGAAAAAAGATAGTCATGAAAAAAAAATTTCTCAAAACTTAAAAATACAAATCTTTTTTATTTATTTTTATTGAGAGAGAAATAAAATTTTAAATAGACCAACATGGTAAAAAGTAAAGTTAAGTTGATGGTAGATGCTGGTCTGCGAGTTGGTGAACACATGTTGAACTGCCACTGTTTCCAACTATCCTCGCCAGTTTTAATGACCACTCAAACACTTTTGGTCATGCGTGATCTTCAATGAAGAACAATATTTCCAATGGCTCTGTAAATCTTTATATGCCAATACCATGGGGTCTGGTGGGTCTTCACTGAAGATGGCGCAAAACTGAAATGCATTTGAGTGATATCGAAACCTGCAAATGTAGACACACTCTGCGCCAATTCAACATGGTATAGTGTATCTATCACTTTTTTAATTTAAAAAAATTTGTTGTACACTAAATTTAGTAGGTATGATATTTAATATGTATACTGACTATATTTTTAAGTTAATATTATAAATAAACAAATAAGTTTCACTCACTTGCAAGGCTTCAGCTTCATCCCGTCTTTCATCTTCTGTGTTCATTGTGACAAAACGTAGAACCAGAAGATTGAGCGAGGCTGCAACGATGGCGAGACCAAACAATATGAATATGAGGGAAAAGGCAACATATTCGGGCTTTTTGTCGAGTGCGTCATCCTTCTGTATTGCCACCATGTCTCCAAAGCCGATGGTCGTTAGAGTTATGAAGCAGTAGTACACCGAATCGAAGTAAGTCCAACCTTCATACCGGCTAAATGCTGCGGCACCACCCGCGATAGTCAAACTGCTTAAAGTAGTCACAACACATATAAGGTTTATTTCTGAAGCATCAATGTTCCGACACCCTAATAACCGTTTCACATGGCGAATAACTACTGATGACAACTTGTTCACACGTTCGCCAATGCTTTGGAACATAACTAGGCCCAATGGAATTCCAATTATAGCGTAGAACATGGTGAACAGCTTACCGCCTATTGTGTTGGGTGTAGAATGACCATAACCTTTAATAAAAAAATATAATTAATCTAGAGAATAAATTAACAAACCCAAAATTATTTATTATAAATAGAAATAATTTCATTTCTCATAAAACTATTGATTGATTATGCATTGTGCTTATGCATACACATGAGTGCAGAATTGAACTTATGAGTTCTCATGGCATACCGTGAGAATCACCAACTTCGGTGTTATAGTGATCCAAGGGTCAGATATCAGTCTTGGTTGATGGAATGGTTAACTACCCCTAAGAGTAATTAATATTCTACCATCACCCTTTAGACACATAAACAATTACATATACGCTAACTAAGGATCGATGGGGTACTTAATACTGACTTTATTTTTTTACATGGACATTCCTCATATTTTCTTCTATAATAGAAATTTGTTTCCATTCTTCAAAAAATAAGCATAGCACACTAATTGATTAAAATTCTAATAGCACCAGCAGATTCTATGTCAAAAATGACCTTTGGAACCATACTTAACCATGCCTTTTATTAAAACTCAATAATATATGCAATACTACTATTAACTGAGATTTAAAAAAAAAAAAATGTATAGAAAGAAATACCTCTGTTCCTTCCAAAAATCAGAACAGGAGATCCAATACTTGCTGTTCAAGCATAGTTGTAATATAAGGTGGCATTCCTACATGCTCTCCACAAGAATGTAGCTAATACAATTAAAGGTTGATGGGTACTAAATACTCGATGCTCTTGCATTATATACACATTCACGTTTATAAATACATTCTCATGAAACAGTTAACACTGAATACATCTACCAGCAAACTTGTTATATATGCAATACTAAAATTAACTGAAATAAAAAATCTCTATATGCAGAAGTACCCCTTTTTCTTACAAGAATCAGAACAAGAGGCACAAAGATTGGCTTCTGTGCAACCCAATTCTAATATTGGGTGGTCATCGTCCACACTCTTTATTCCATGGAGTGACCAATTATGTAACTAATCTACTGGAAGCTCAATGAAGTACTTGATATTCCTCCATCGACACTTTTTACTGCACACATTTTCTCGCTTATAAATACACTCTAACAAAACAGTTAACACAGAATATACCTTTACCAAACTTGTTTCATATACAATACCAACTGAGATTTAAAAAAATCAATATATACAGAAATATTGCTTTTTCTTCCAAGAATTAGAATAGAGGAGATATTCATTACTAAACTCGAGCAAAATTCTCATATTGAGTAGCATTCCTAGTTGCACTTTACTCTCTGGAGCTTTTCTTATCCTCAGTTCTTTATGCCAAAATGTTTACTTCCATTTTAAGTTACAACTATCAACCTTTAGTTCATAATTTTATTTACACATATGAAACTTTAAAATATGTATCCTTTTGTTAAAATGTAATTAAACAATGTTTATTACATAAAATCACTGCAGAATTATTTATCAGTTTAAAAACTTTTACTAGTTCTTGTGATTAAACTTATTATTTAGTTATTCAAGATTATAAATTATATATTTCTAACATTTTTCTACGTTTTAATTTTGTAGAAATAAAGTGATTAAATAAACAAATGGATATTGTTTTCCATAGTTTGTGTTTTGCATTTAAGATTTGGTGTAAGTAATAAAGAAAGGAGTAAGAACGTCAAACAAAAATCTGATACATTTTCAAAAATGATTAGCCTTATTTCATATCATTTCAATGATTTCAAGGATTTCTGGCTAAGTATAGTAAAGTACATTTATTGCATAGCTGTATTGTTTAAAAACTAAGGACTTTGAAATTTAATGTCAATCAAAGTGTTTAAAGGCAATTTTGATAAATGTATACCTATTGTAGTAAGGACTGTTGTGGCATAATAAAAGGCACCAGCAAACTTCCACTGTCTACCAGCCTTATGCGGCTCCGCCTTGAGTACAAGTGTTTCCAACACTCGGTAATCATCAGGTGATATGTTGTACTTCTTGATTATCATTGTTTCAATAGCTGTGAACAAAAAGGAATGTTAAACCATTGGAACTTGTATTCTCCGATTATTACATAACATTTACAACCTAGACAAATCTTTACATTTATATATTTGTATTTTTAGATACTGAAAAAAATATTAGCAGATAATGTCATTTCTTTACTCTGGCCTGTTTTTGACTAGACTTAATGAAAATAAGGGCAGTGAAAATGGAAAGCTAAATATCTCAGGGTGGCTAATCTGTCAGAGTGAATGTGTCATGACCAGGAACAGTTTTCTTTTGTCCATTCCATATCTTCACAGATTCTTTGTCACCTCTAGATTTACAGTTAATTACTTACAACTTTTAACCCTGAGTAACAAACTTCCTATGGTTGTATTGTTGCAAAAAAGAAACGAGGGAAAAAATTGAGAATCACCGGAAAACAAACAAGACATACACTGCATATTTTTTTCTAAATTTGAAAAAATCTACTAAGAACCAAAATTAGACAGTGCAAAGCTCACAATAAATTACAGCAATTAAATATGAAATTAAAATTAACAAGAGGACAGTAACACTTAAATAAATAAAGCATTAAAAGTTCTAACAGTATGGAAAATCCAAGATTTTCTTGATAAAATTTGCTAAAATAATAAAGAGAAACTGTACTATGACAGTGCATACATTTTTACAAGTAATAGCTGATGAATTAGTTAGAAGAAAATAGATGCCACTAAATACAGTCTTAAAACTGCTAATGGACTTGTAAGAAATTAAACCAGTACTAGTTTAAAAAAAGTTTTACTTAACGTATATATACAATTGAAGTATATATTACAGAAAATTATTTCCATCTAAAAACTGACCAAACTGTGGTGCTTGACTAATGTTTCAACACTGTCAGAATTGAAGCAGTATAAATAACATAAAATAGGCAGTTTTTTAATTATTTTATCGTAAGTAAGAATGAATAACCAGTTAATGTTAGAACAAAAGTGTTTAGAGGCAATTAAAATCAATGGGAAGACTGAGTTTAAAACTAATTCGTCCTTTGAATTTAAAAGGCCATGTACAATTCAGGATTTCCTCTCTTTAAAAATATCTCCACCAGAAATATGAAATAAACAGAACTGTCTAATTTAGAGAAAAAACGCATTAATCTAAATTGCAATTGGAATAGAACTGTTACTACATAAATCGGTTTACAAAAGTGTATAAACTTAATTTTTTGAAAGATTGTCATTTCAAAAACTTCGTCCCCTAAATTCGACAAATTAGTTTTTAAGTATGCTTGACTAAAATTGCCATAAATCGAACAGTGCACGGAGAAAAAGGTTTTAGTTTTAAATTTGCCAAAAGAAATAAAGGACTAATGTTGAAATAAATGTATGTACAATAGATCCTTAAATGTTCTAAAGATTTTGTAGCTCCAATTAAAATTTGTCTACCCCAATAAAACAAAATGTTTTATATTTTGAACAGCGAATCTGTACAGTTTGATAAGCATTTTTTAAGCCCAACGGTTCGAAAATTACCGATGAAAATAGTAAAACCGGGTTTTTTCTTGACATGTTTTACCCCTTTAAAATTTGCCCTCTTCCATGTTCTTGTTCAGATGATTTTTTCCGGCCGGATGAAAAAGTTCGACGAAATTGAAAAAGGAATTGCCCCGCCTGGCAAGCCAGTTTCCTATATCACACGAATATTACCTCGCTTCGAATGTAAACCAATTCTTCAGACTTGATCACTTTCCATCTAGATTCGCCTCCAATTTGAAACAGTTTCCTAAACGGGGCAAACTTCTCGGGGTTTTTTTCGATAAACAAATTTCCCAATCGTACACATTTCAGACTCTACATGTCTCTAACCTTTCTTCAATTGCAAAAACGCTCACTGACAAGGCCCAGACGCTAAAGCTGAAAAGAAAAAGAAAGTCTCTTGCTAGAAGATTATATTAATTTCAAACCTGATTATTAAAAACATTGGTTTGATAAAGGATTGATTTCCTTGATAAAGAAAAATAATAGGGGACAGAGAAGATTTAAGGAAACAGGCACTTACGAGGACTATAAGCGATTTTGTGAATGTAGAGAAGATTCAAAGTTAAGGATATCCACTTGTTATAAGTCCTATGTTTATAATATTGTGCATAGCCCTATATTTGATGCCAAAAGGTTTTGGTCTTTTGTCAATAGTAAGCGAGGTGGTAGAGACTATCCCCGTGAAATGTTCCATGAGGTAATTTTCGTCCCCATTCACGATTATTCAAGAATTCGTTTCCCTGTTTAAACAAAACTTCATCAATTGTTCCGAGTCTGATTTCGAGTTAAATTTTACTGAAATTATGTATTTAAGCTCGGTTGCTTTGGATCCTGAGGTCGTAAATTTTACTGAAATTATGTATTTAAGCTCGGTTGCTTTGGATCCTGAGGTCGTTAGGAAAAAGCTTGCTCCTCTGACCCTGAGTTGTAATATCGGTCAGGATGGGATCCCAGAATTGTTCTTAAAGAAATGCTGTGGTTTCTTGTCCGAACCTCCCTCTATACTATTTGTCAACCTTTTTGGGAGGAGATATTTCCAGAGACATGGAAGATTACTTTTTTCTCTTGTACTTAAAAAAGGTGATTGTAGGAACATCGAAAAAAAATGCTATCTAATACCTAAGATTATGGAGTCCATATTGAGCCTTTCATTCCAACACGTTATTTTTCAGCATCGCAAAGACGCAAGAAAGGACGCTCGTAACCAACTTGGTTCTTTTCAAGGATTTCATTATCAATCGTTTGGAAAATTATGTTCATTCTGTTTACACGGATTTGTCTAAGGCCTTAGAGGACAGTGGACTGTTTAATCTTGATGAAAAAACTGGAAAAGCTAGAAGTAGGTAACCCTCTTTTGAGGTGGATCGTTTCTTTTCTCCCGAGGAGATCTTTTACAGTAAGATTCGGGGAATGATTTTAGACTCTGTCTATATTGACTCTAGTGTTGCCCAGGACTCTCATTCGGGGCCAGTATTGTTTCTGATATTTTTCAAACATGTTGGATCAATCATTAACAATTCCAGATTTTCACTCTTAGCTAACGGCGTACAAATCTTTCGTCCAACCTCCTCAATTGAGCAATTTAATATACTGCAGGAGGATCTGGACGCTTTATTTTCATGGTGCGATCATAATAATCTTAAATTAAATGAAAATAAGTGTTAAATCCTAAGATTATCCAAGAAAAAGATTGCGGATGAGCTTTGTTGAGTGTTGAATGAGATTTGTTTACAAATTCCATCGTCATCTCACAGACGACGTGCCATCTCGACCAAAAAACTTTAACTAACAATGCCCAGTGGCCAAAGTTAGAAAGAAAAGTCTTTCTTTGCGGTTTGAAGAAACTTGTCAAACTTGATAATTATATCATTAGATCATATCAGAAACATTGATATTTATCATTTTTATATTATTCGAGATTTAAAAGAAGTCTTAAAATTGTTAGAAGAAAAAAGTAATTTTGCCTGTTTTCTATCTAGAAGTTTAAAACAAGAAAGTATAGTGACAATGTCGACATGCCAGTACTAGAAACGAAGAGCTAAGTCTTTTTCTCCTGTTTAAAAGTTTTATTGCTTTCGGACCTACTATTAGACCATTAGACAGCATGAGGATTGGAGAGGGATCTTGCAAGTAATTTTGCAAGTTTCCTAGCTAGAAGTTAGCGACAAAAATGCTTAGTGTCAATGCCCAGATGTCAAAACTAGAAAGAAAAAGAAAAAGCTTTACACTCTGTTCTAGTTAATTAGTTTAATTTAACTATAAGTTTATGAAAAAACGCTTACTTACAATGCCCTGAGGTTAAAGTTAGAGTTAAAAAACCAACTTTCCCCTAGCTTTATTTTATCCATTTCAGACCTAGTAATTAAATCATTAGATCTTAAAGGAAAAAATCTAGACCTTTATCATTTTTTATAGTATTACGGTTTTAAAGGGGTTATTAAAAGTACTTTTACATGTTTTCTAACAACAAGCTAAAAACAGCAACACTCACTGGCAATGGCGTAAGCTACGGAGGGAAAAAGAAAATTTTTCTCTTCTGTTTGTAGTTTTATTGATTTCTGACCTGATAATTAGATCATTAGATCATAAAGCAAAATCATTATGATTTTAAAGAGTTAAAAGTAATTTTGCATGTTTTCTAACTAGAAGTTAATGAAAAAACGCTCACTGACAATGCCCAGAGGCTAAAGCTAGAGAAAAATCTTTCTCCTCAGTTTGAGGATTTTATTGATTTCAGATCTGACAATAAAATCATAACATCCTAGAGAAAAACTTTCTGTTTCTTCATCATTATTTATAATATTGCGGTCTTAAGGGGGGTTATTAAAATCAATTTTATGTATTCAAAGTTCAAGTCAAGGGCAAATAAGCTAACAATTCCAGACGACAAAGCTAATGAGGAAAAAAGTAAAGACGTTCTCACCTATTTGAGAAATTTATTGATTTGAAATTCGACAATTATACCATTAGAACTCAAAGAAAAAAATATCTAGTTCTGTTATTATTTACACCAAGTATTAAAAATAATTTTGCATGTTTACTAAATAGAAATTAAGCCCAAAAAAGTTAATTGAAAAATGTCCAGATACCAAACCTAAAAGAAAAAGAAAAGTCCTTCTTTGTTTTTATCTATTTCAGACCTGATAATTAGTTATAAGATCTTAGAGGAAAAATGGAGATCGTTATAATTTTTTCAGTCAAGGACAAAAACGCTCACCGGCAATTCCCAGACGACAAAACCAGAGAGAAAAAGTTTTTTTCCCTTTTATTTGAGGAATTTATTGATTTTAAGCCTGACAATTATATCATTAGATGTAATGTGTAAGTAATTTTACCAGTTTTCTTACTACAAATTTAGGAACAATCAAGTTTAAACTTTAAACTTTCTTTGTTTAAGTAATTTTAAATTTTAAATATTATTGTTTAATTCTCTAATTATTATTATTATTAATTTTTAAGGGCGTTTTAACGGCCAAGGACATTTCACGCCCTAACAATTAAACCTTCTATCTTAGTCCAATTAATTATTTTTTTATGTCACGAGCGGGATTCGAACCCACGATCTTCGGCTAAATACGCCGCTGCTCTACCACTTGAGAGAATCCCGCTCGTGATACTGACTTTTTATCTCAATCAAGACCTTACGTAAAAAGAATAATTAATTGAAAGAATAACTTGGTCAATTGACCACTAAAACATAAATGGACTTCTATCTTAGGTTAGCTATATCCCTCCTGAGTGCTATAAAGCTCTGACTCCAAACACTCATTCATAAACAACTTTTGTCCTATTGCCATCCAAAGCTCTAATTTATCCTTTTAAAATTTTTAATTTGGAAGGCCAAATTTATGCGAAAATCCCATTTTAAATTATAAAATTTATTTGTGTTCTTTAATTAAAATTTCAAATTTTTGTTCCATAATTTAAACATTTCCCATAGTCTTCTATGGCCAATAATAATAATAATTAATCGCTTAATGTAAGTATTGGTTGAAATGAAAAAGTTAGTGAAACGAATCCTTACATAAAAAGATTAATTAATTGAAAGAAGTTATCTGGTCAATCGGACCATGAAATATAATGGATTTAATAATAATAATAATGGGGGCGTCGGTGGCCGCAACGGTTTAGACGTTGACACGGTGCTCATCACTGTAAGGTAAAGGTCCCGGGTTCGAATCCAGCGGTCCTGCATTCGAACCCAACATACTTACAAATGGGCTTTTTTCAAAACCACCGGCACCCCCCCCCAAAAAAAAAAAAACAACAAAAAAACCAACAGTCTCAGCATGAGTGTAGGCCCATCGTTATCCTTTTGTTCTTCGATTCAAATATGATAAATAAACTAATGCTACTTAACAATAATAAGAAACAAAAACACGATAACACTTCTTTTTCTTTATCCTCTTTTTTTATTTTTATCTATTTTTATTATTTTTGTATTTATATATATATATTTTTTTTGGAGGGGAGGAGCTATCTTTTTTATTTAAATTGCGATTTTGGGCATTGTAATTTATTACCCCGCAATTTTTTCTATTTCATTTCACCGCTCCGGCAGCCTCAAAAATTCTGAAAAAAGAAAGCAATCTTGCACGCACAACTCTCATTCGAACACTAGCAGACAAACGTTCTATGGTATAACAATTTGGGAAAAGGCCTAAATCCCATTATAATTCCATTAATTTAAATTACATAAATTTGAGAAAGCTGAAAAGTGCTCTTCGAAACAAACTCTGGGGACTCAGTAACTCCATTAAATCACTCGAAAGATTGAGCCTTTGCTTAAAGGGTTGCAAAGTGCGACAGTCGACCAAAATATGTTTCAGTCAGAATGATACGTTTCTCCACTTCGCAAATTTAACTTAATTTCTGTTGTTGAATAACAAAACATTTCGGCCCATGAACAGTATAATTGTTGATATTTCATCCGTGGCGTCCTTTTGATCCTTTGTTCTAAAGAATTTCCCAATTTCCATTTCCGTCGATATTTCTAAAATAGTCCTTTTTCCTTGTTTAACGGTCGAAAAGTAATTTTCTTTTTGTAAATGAAATTGATTTGTTTTATTTTGTAAAAATATGATAAAAAAACATTTATTTAGGTTTTTTAAATTTATGTATTTATAATATGATACATCGGTTTTTAAATCCTTTTTATAATTTTAAACGGCTCATAGTAAAATTAGACTGAATCAATTCCAAGAGTTTGTTTAAACTGTCGTAAAGTAAACACATATCGTGAAAGTATTTTCAATATAATTAACTAAAATTCATTAACTATAGCACAGTTTATTACATAGGCCAATATTTT